TTCCGCCCGGCCAAAGTGAGGCTAGCGACCGCGTCTCCCGTCTTCTGTAAAGTGTCCCGTGTAAGGCGGCCCGTCGAGGCGCAGTCATCATTGGGGGCGGGCGGCTCTGCAGGCTGCGAGCCCAGCTGGCTGCATCACGGCAGGCTGTAGGCTTTTTCTCTTGTCTGCCTGCTGCAAGCTGCCTGGTTGGACTCGTCAGTGTCGAAGCGCCTGGGTGTGGCTTACGGTTGGACTTGGAATGCGGTGAGGTAAAGTTGTGGTCTTTTGGTAACGCCGATTCTCGGCCTGTCTCTTCGCCTCGAGGCCTCGGCTGCAGGCTTTCTTTTTCTTTTTTGACGGCGCGGGTCGCGGGCTGGGAGGGAATTCTGGGTGTATGTAGATGAGGGAAGTGGGAATGTGATTTGAACAGGGCCTTGCGCAGGTTCCGTTTTACATTGGTGCATGCATGAGTTACCTACTCGATGGGAGGTCGGTCAGTGACAGCCTGATCATGGCTTAGATTTGGTGTGGGAGTTTGTGGTGTGTTGGCGTTTGGTCCGCCTGGTTCGCCCTGCGTTGCTGGCGCGGGGTCGCGGGTCGTATCAATGAAGTGGGAAGCGCGGTTCGCTTTACCTACTTGATCTTGCGTATATAAGAGGATCCTGTTCTCTCGAAATTCAGATTATTCCTCATCTCTCATCACGAAATATCGAAGCACAGCCTCCCTTATCATTCTCCTCTTTGGTTACTGATCCCTTTGCACCTTGACACTTGGCCTTCCTACCCGCATCTCAGCCTGCATCTAGCCGACCCGATTCACGACCTACATACTCCGTGACGTTGAACGACACTTTCCTGACTCGAGACTGCGCTGAAATCAACCCCCTTGCTCACTTTTTGTCTTCTCTGCTACGTCTTCAGTTAGTCTTTTGCCTCTCAAGTGATGCCCGTGAGGTAATTACTCTCTTCTTTCATGCGAGGCTTGTGGATCGTGACCACCGTGACATGGTGTCCGTCACCCTGTGATACGTGTTCATACCCGCCATTGTGCTGTAGCGGTCTCGTTCAAATAGAAGAAAGATAGTAGCTAGTTGATCTACTGCAGTATAGAGGTAGTCAGTCTAGTTAGTCTATTGAAGGGGCTTGGCTAATAAGTATGATGATCTGGGCATGGATATACGATATCAGAAAGGGGCAGCGGGGGGAAAGGGACGGTTGATGAGTTCGGATTTGGGATTTGGGCGGTCATGTGCAGTTGACGAGGTTATTTTTACTAAAACTAGAAACATGTGTAATGGTATGTTCGGGACAAGACGATGATCTCGCCGAAGACCTGTGTGACGGTATGTCCAAAATATATAGCTTGCTCCGTAGGTCTCAGAGGAGAGTGGCACGAGAGCTACTCTCCCGGTCATCAAGATTGGATTTCGGCGATTGCGTTGATCTCGGGACATGGCCCTTGACATTACATGGGAAGCAAGAGATGGACATTTATCCATACATATATTCGTCTAGTGATGTGATTAATCCTCCGCTTCTGTTTGAGTTGTTTTGGGATGAAGCTAAAGCACTCATGTCGACAAATGATAGAGAAATATAGGAGGTGCAACGCCCTCATATCTAGCCACTCAATAGCAATCGGTCAGAGTCAGTATCGGTTCGGTCCTCCGAGGCCTCGTACATGAGGAACAGTCCCACGCGTACACCTGGACATGTACACAACATCAACTAGCCTTGACAATATGGAAACGTGGGCAAAACGAACGACGCGTTTGCTACCTTCTTATAAATACTCGTGAAATCAAGAAAGTGACTCCAGAGTCGTCCTTGCTTGTCAGCAATTCTCCACGGACCTAACAACCGTTTTGATCACTAGAGATGCTGCTGACGGGAGTGAAGTTGGAACTCTTCCATTAACATGAACGCCGAAGAACGAGAAATTCGTCCACAGCCTGATGAACCTTGTCCTTAACCATTTTTCCCCCTCTCTGTCCAAAGAATATAATGAGCGTTCGAAGTTTATCTTCACCTTTTCGTTGAACGGATTTTTGGCACCACGACATAAAGACAAGCGTAAACTAGCATTGCATGAAAGGTTGTCATTGAATTTATGAGAAGGCTGGAGGAGTGAGCAGTCTGACTCATGGCTAGTTTTGAGTGAGCTGAGTGAACAGAGGGGGTTTCTGTTTCGTTTCCATCAGTTCACGTCGAAACCGCATTCCCAGCCAGACGCTCGCAATGCCTTATTAACAGAGACTACTCCGTTGATTTCGTTTCAGAGTCTTGGAAGCCCTTATACATGATCCGAAACTCTGTAGTCTAGCCACCCCAATCTATATCTACTCAATCAAACACCGACATCGACCACCTTACAACCCCTTAAAGCACCCTCTGATCCATCCGAAAACCCTCTTCAACAACCGTCTACCACCTCTCTTCTTCCCCTTCCTCCTCCCCCGAACTACCTCAGCCTCATGCTTCCCACGACTCAACCCGAGCCCCCCCTCCTCAAAGGCCCAGGCACGCAACCTCTGCAAGTCCCACGGGTCCCTCTCCGCGTCCACAACCCTCCCCAGCGTACCATCATCAAAGGCAATGCCCCTCCAGAGCAAGACCCCGAGAACCTGAGCCCTCTTCGCCCGGCGGATAACCTCCTCATCACCCACCACGCGCCCGACCTCATCCCAGAAGAGTGCACGGAGGGAGGCTGCTTCGTGATAGTACTCGAACCTCGTCGTCGTCGTAGTCGTGGCGGTGGTAGCAACACTTACACCGCCAACACAGTCAACATCACTGCTCCCATCAACGACAACATCCTCCCCCAACACCTCTTCAAGCCCATACATCCCCACCCCGAACGGTAACCACTCCGCCTCAGCCCAGTCAATCAGCCCAACCAGCCCGCCAGCCCTCTCCTCCCTCCCCCACCCCAGCCTCTGCCTCACCCACGCCTCGCCGCCCTCGCCCTCACCCTCCTCGCGCGGCGGATGAACCATGACGTTATCCGGCACGAGGTCCCCATGCGTAACAACCCAAGGCAACCCCTCGATATCCCCCAAATCCCGCCTAACCTCCTTCACAACGGCCCTAAACTCCAAAGGCAACCCCTTCTCCATAATCTCCAACCGCCACGCCAAACTCCCTCCCACGCGACCCCTGACGCCGTCGCCGTTCCCATCACCCCCAAAGACCTCCCGCCTGCCCCTCCACGAATCCGCAAAGACAACAGCCAGATCCGCTACAAGCCTCCGCCTCGACGCCCTCGGATCCGTCCCCAGACCGGCGCACATACCCCTGAACCCCGTCAACGACACACCGCCGACCCTCTCCAGGAGATATGCACACATCTCCCCGTCCTTCCTCCCCCTCCCACCACGGCTCGCCGTCGTCGTCGTCTCTAACCCCTCCAAGACACCAAGCTCCTCCACGCCCGGCACGATCCCATCCCCAAATACACCCCTCGCCTCGCCGCAAATCTCAACATCGATACCGTGCCTCCTAGGCCGGAACTGAACGAGTCTTCCACCGCCGCCGCCGCCGCCGCCGCCGCTGCCACTGCTCTTCCAGCTCGTACCGCCCTCGCTCCCGCATTGACTTCCCACACTCCCTCCACCGGCCCCTTCACCAGCCTCGACCCCGCTATCCCGCCGCCGTCCCGTCGCTTCGTGGCTTACACGACTACTGCCGGGCGGGAGCGGCCTCAGGAGCAGCGTATACGAACAGTACCCCTGAAACGGTACCCTCTTTACGTCGCAGGCGGGAAACAGCGACTGCGCGAACTCGTGCGCTGCTGCGATGGCGGAGGGATGGAGTCCGTTCCGTCGCAGGAATGCGGCGACTTTGCCGTCGTCGTCGTCGTCGTCGTTTTTGGCCTCGATGTCTTCGCCATCACTGTGTTGTAAATCCGCATCCTTGCTCACGGAGTCCTGGGCCGGGCCACCTGCGGCATCGTGTATAAATGATGTTATCATCGAAGCCAACCCGCCTCCTTGCCTCGTACCGCTAACAGCGACGTGAATGTTCTCGTCTCTGCGGGATCGGGTATCAATCGACATGATTTCTTCTTCTTTTCTGTTTCGTTTCTCAATGCGGTTTCCAACATGCTATTTTACAATGACCATTACGAAAAAACCCCGCGAGTTAACGTGCGGGCTTTAGACGACAGACCATTTGTTTATCATATGTTTTCCTCAGCTTGCGTCAGAGAGGTCGTTTGGAGTCAAAAGGTGGGGGAGGGGAGAGAGATGGTCCAATTGAGTTCACATGACGGCACCATCAGCTGGTTTTCCCGCCTGCTTTTCTCGGTCAGCGCGCGTATGTGTATGGTTTTTCTGCAGCAGATGGCCCTTTTTTGTCGGGGAAACAGAGTATGAGGAGATGGAGGGAGGGGGGGGGGATGAACAACTCCGACCACACCCACTCACCCACGGGATGCGGCCGCGTGGGGTGTTGTCTTGCAGATGACTAGGCCGTTCGACCATCACCTAAGCCTCGGGAATAACCACACTGCTTGTTCTCAGGATGGCGATTGGAAAGATACTGCCTCACGTCACAAATAAATACAAAGGAGAGGCAATATGAAGATTTTGTCTTTGAATGATAAGTTTGTATTATTACCTGTCGGTAAATTTAGAAGTGGATGAAGAAAAAGAGAAGAAAAAAAAAAAAAGGCCAGGGTGTCTAGAGGACAAATGAAGTTTTTCCCTAGCCCCTTTTTGATGAAAAACATCCCGTGGTTATGCCCGTTTCCTTTACTCCATGCGAAGGGTATAAATCGATGCGCGAACCCTATGGCCGCGGCATGCATGCTTTGTTTCGTCGGTGCACTCGGCTCCTCCATCTTACACGCGGCATCATCTTGTCCAGAGTGCGGTGCGTCGGCAAGGGAAACTCCGTAACGGAAGGGCGGAAGCGCTCCGGCTTTTGACGCCGGTTTGATCGGCTTCCGCCGGCGCCGCCCTACTCATCCGGTTTTCCCGACGCCACGATGTGCGGCAGATCATCCTGTCCGTAGCTCTGTGGTAGTGGACGGCGTCGACCGCGGCTCCTGTGGTTGATACAACCAGACGCTTTCCCTATACACCCAACACCCTCACAGGCTGACCCGGCTCTGCCTGCGCCCGGTTCTATGTGATATTCGGCCGTTACTGATATTCGTTACACGCGCAGCGATTGCGCAGCTCGCCAGTCTATTTGGACCAGTTTATTTGCGGGCTCTGCGGTCGAGCTCGACCTTGCTGTACCACCCGGCACCAATCATGGTGAGAATCATGCCGGAGCCGTTGAAGAGGTGGACTTCGACGCCAAAGGCGATAATGCCGAGGCCAACCGTCAGGCACTGCTTCAGGTTACCGCAGATGCTCATCGTCAGAGCACCGGCGACCTTGTTGGTCTGGAAAGAGGCAACGTTGAGGGCGAAAGCGAGGATGCCGTTGCCGAGAAGAGCGATAACGGTGGCGAGGCTGATGTTGCCCTCCACACGCATGGTGTTGAGGTTTCCGAGCTCGCCGGCGGCGATGGCGCAGGCCAAAGACTGCATAGCCGCAAAGGGCGACATGCGCAGCAGGACCTCCATAGCGGGGAGGGCCAGGGGGCCGGTCATAATGCGGTTGGTAGCGACGGTCTGTTAACATGTTCGTCAGCAACTGGAATTGCATTGATAGTAGCACTGTAAATGGGACGAAGGTTTGCTGGACGAGTTTCAGAGGGCGCAAAGGGCGGAGATGGCGGACCCAATTGGAGTCGCCGGGACCACTCTCCGCAAACTCGACAAAGCGTAGGATTTCGGATGATGGACGGGAGATGGGCAAACCCAAAATAACGTACCTTGACCGCAGCAAGCACCACGCCCGCAAAAGTGAGAAGGAAACCCAGGTCGGTGAAAGTGTACTCGCCAATGGTGGTCAGAGCAGCACCAATCATGATGGGAACCAGCGTCAGGTAGGTCATGTTCTCATAAGTGCGACCAAAGACAACGCGGTAGATGAGAACCGTGAATACGGGGACGGTAGTTCGGAGGACCTGGTAGAACGGCACGGAGACCATGGCACTGCGCAGTGAATTAGCATCGTTGCTCGTTGAGTTTGTTCGAGTTCCGCCCCTTCCGGCGGCGGAGCTGCGGGCGGAATGTGCGCCATCATGCGGCACAGCACAGAACAGGCCCAAAGAGGAAGGATTTTGGTCACTTACAGTGACAGGTTAGACACAGCAATGTTGGTGGTGAAGAGCAAGCTGAAGGCGAGGAGAATGAGGTTTTCGCGGCGTCCCAGATGGGACATGGTGAAGTAGCCACATTGGAGCAAGCAGTAGCAACCCAAACTCGCGCACGTGGCGTGAAGTGAGGTGAGAAGCCACGGGAAGGGGAACTAAGATGAAAATTAGAGGAAGCTCATCGAGGAGGGTACTTCTTTTTCATCATTTCATCGCTGGTAGTTCGTTTTCTCGACAATTCTGACGAGAACCCGGTGGTGGCGAATGCAATGATAAGAGGCAATTCACATACCGCTCCGAGAATCAACTTGTTGTAGAGGGTTAAAACCAAGCTGAACATGAAATAGGCGCTCAACCAGCCAAACTTGACCTGTGGTGAGATGGTGTATTCGACGGGGTTGCGGACTCTGTCGGCGTTGGCTTGTTGTTCGGTGGCGGCAGTGCTGTTGGCCTCGAGATCGTAGCTCTCTTCGATTCGCTTCTCATCGCCGTTGAGGAGGCCGTGGCCCTCCTCGCTCCGTCGAGCCTCGCTCTTGAGGTTGCTGGATTCCGCCATTGCTTCCAAAGGGTCGTCGGGGGAGTAGTGGGTTTTGGCGTTGGGTCGTAGAAAAAGAGGTTGAGCTTTTGGGTTTTCCCCGTTTTCGTCGCAAGGTGTTGGAATCCTCTTTCGTTTATTTGTTTAGAGACCGTGTGTTCGTCCACAGGTACCCTGTCGCTTAGGGGGTAGGTCGAGAAGCTGACGACTGTCCTGGTTTCACGACGTAGATCGGTCCCGAGCGGGCGGGGGGGCTTTTGGGCGGTAAACGGGCGTGCGTCAGGTAGTAGTCGAGCTTAAAAAAAAAAAAAATTCGGACTAACAAGCGACGAATGGAGGAACGGCTGCGGACGATGGGACAAAGTGTGAATCAAAGAGAAAGAGGTCCGAACGAGAGGCAGAGCGATCGAAGGAGTGTGGTTGACGATATGGATGAAGGAAGAAAGAATAAAAGAAAATAGGGACCTGGATAGATGGAGGTAAGTGAGGTGTGTGGTGTAATGGGGGGCGGATAACAGAGGCGGGAGGTACAAGGCAGGGGCGTTTGCTCAGTGGAACAGGCTGTAAATGAACCCAAGACTTCGGATCGCGGGCTTTGCGAGGCGTCAGCTAAATCCGATGCAGCAATGTATTCAGAAGGGTCTGGGAACAGGGGGGCAGGGCAGGATTAAGGTAAGTTTTAGAAAGGGAACGACAGGAACCGGAAGGGTTGAAAGGATGTGTGGAGAGAAAAGGAATGGGAGTCAAGTGAGTGGTGGACGTGGTGGTTGGTGGTGAGGCGGGCACACGGCAAGACAGATAGATACCTAGGTGAAGGAGAGGGTGGGAATAGGAGTGGGATGCACGGTACGGAGTACGGAGACTGAGTATCTCAGAGAGAGTGAACACACACGGGATTGAGGACAGGACAGGGTGGAGAGGGGAGGGAGGGATGGCAGAGGAGACATGACCCACCGGGGTGGAAGGACAAGAAGAGGAAGCAGAGGATGCCGAGATACTCAAACGGGCATCTTTCTCGCTTCCGCGCTTGGCATCAATGACGTTTCGGCTGGCGGCATTGCTCACTGCCAGTTCTCCTTTTTTCGAGTCCCTCGTCTTGTTCATTTGCCGTACGGTGCACGGTATACGGATAAGAATACCATATTCCAAGTGCTCCCCAATAATAGACATTAGGTGCATCCTCCAATGGTGAGTGAGTGAGAATGCAATGAGTGAACGATTGACCGAATGAGCAAGGTAGGTAAAGTGACTGAGTGAGCTGGTGAATTACAACCATCTCCCGGCCCCGGCACACGATAAATTACACACGTACCTTGGCTAGTCTGGCTAACCCAAGGGAGCTTCCTCAAACAGTAAGGGTACCTCGAAGCTCTGGGGGACGAGTAGCACACCACGAAATTCCGTAGAGACAGAAAAAGTCAGAAACAAGACTTGATCCTCCGCCACTATCCGTACGTAGAGTAGCAGTGTACTCCGTAGGTAAGGGGTCTCTCAGATCTGTCTGGGTTTCTCCCGAGTCTATTGAATGGAAACGAAACCCAGCATCGCGGCTTCTCATCTCATACACTTAGGTCCCCCCCCTCACCTCATATGAGAGAGAGCTTACGACGTGTGTACACTGTAAGGGAGCGAGAGCAGACTCAGCCACGGGATACGGGCGATACGGCATCTCTGTCACGAGTGATACTCAATAGTGGACAGAGGGCGTCGTGGACACGCTCACTCACGTACGCAACGCTTTCTCACACTTCATACAACTCAAAGTCTGAATGTCAACCGCCTATCAAACCCAAGCTTGCGCGTTTGGGGATAATTACATCGGCAAAATCTGGCCGGTTCGGCTGGTCTAGTCTCGATGCGACCCCGTCGTTCTCGAACGGCCTCGCGCTGTTGCTGTCGCTTGGTGCTGGCGCTGGCGCTGGCGCTGGCGCCGGTTCGCCTGTGTGGTGTGTGATGTACATTGTGAGGGAATCTATCTGCCCGCCCGTTTGAGCTAAACAGCAGCTAGTAGCCGGGCTCTCTCATAAGTTCAGTTCTACCGACAGGCTCACCGTGACGCCGCTTCGTTTGCAGCGTGCTGGCAGCTGCTCTACATTAAGTAGAGCGGATGTCCCGTGTTTCCCATTCGGATCCTCTGCCTTCACGGGTTGATTATCTGTACAATGGGTGTGCTCACACTCACCATGGATGAGGTGGTGGTGGTGGTTTAGATGGGCGGGACACTGTGACAGGGCTTGAAGAGTAGTCTCCATTATCGATCAGTGGCTACCAGGTCATCATCGTCATCTATCCTCATCTCTAGTCTGGAGACTGGCGGGGGGATGGAGGGCCTCGCGGGTCTGGGAAAGAGTGAAAGGCACTCAACCTGTGGTTGAAAGCTCCGTGAGTGGTGGGTTGGATGAACAAGGCCGACGGGTCCAAGGTGCGGTGGAATGTAGTCGTACAGTGCGGTGGCGGGTGGGATTTCGCGTCCGAAGTGAGCTTGTCTTGGGAAGAAAAGAGCGCCCCCATAACCCCCCTTGGCAGCCGCGTAAGCCTGGGGCCCTGATTCATCCTGGTGCGGCCGGACGGCAAGGGAGGGGGGGCCACAGAGTACTATGGTAAGTACCTAGCGAAACGGAGCCAGTTAATAAAGGGGAGGAGCCAGATACAGTGTAATTGCGGGATGAGGGACCGGGGAGGTGGTTCCATTGGAGGAAGGGCAGCAATTATCTATGGCAGACCGGGGGGTTACTGGAGTAGGGAACTTGGGAGAACATCATGAAGGGGTGGGGGGGAGGAAGGAAAAGGCAAATACCTGCCACCAGGTTGGCCAATTGCGTGGGACTGTGCCCGGCCGGGGTCGGCGGATCAATCATGAAGAAACCTGGATAAAGTGGAATGGAAGCATTTTTTTTTTGGATACCTACACCCAGCTGGCGAGCAAGCTCCGGCTCCAGCGAGCTGAGGAGGGACCTGAGTCTCTGAGGTGAGTCTGGGAGGATCACTGGATCAGTCCATCAAGCTCTAGAACACGTTTAATTGCGTTTAGGCGGCGGGTCCTGTTTTTGTCTCGAGTCTGGTCTATTTGGATCACTTGGAGAAATTCCACAGATGATTCCAGTTGTGCGGCCGCCGCTGGTGCATGATTGCATCTAGTTGCGTTGTTATCAATTCTTGATCTTAAAAAGCCTCATATCCAAAGCTACGCAGTTCGAGGAGCTACAAGGCTTGCGCATGCACGAGCTTCTGAACAGACTTTGAAGACTGACTCTCCAAAGACTCCAGCCGTCGTCCTTTCTTCATATCAAGAAAAAGCCAAAAGAAAAGCAGGCGAAAAAGTGGGGGTAAAGCGACTCCAGTACTGGGTGCTCGTCACGAACACTCAGGTATACGTTCCTAGCGCGTGGGTAAGAGAGTCATTATCACTGGCCGATCTCATTTAAATGCGGCTCTCGGCAGGGTCCAGCATCCAAGGGGAAAATCTAGCTTGATGAAATGGGAGCGAGCAAGCCGAAGATCGAGCAGCAGACTACGAGGTACTGTGTACAAGTAGCAATGATGTAGGGGTTGCCGGCGGAGAAGAGCAGTAATCTATCTGGATAATTCGTTTTCTGTCTGCGGCTGCACACAGGTTTCGGCCCATTTAGAATCATCAGTAAGTGCTCTACCGTGTATCCTGTCATGGCACGGGAGGTTTATTTGGCAGGTCTCACTCTAGGTTTAGGTAAGGGAGATACGGTACCTAGGTAGGGTACTGCGAGTGAGTGTACTGCGTAAGGCAGGGCCCCGAACAGAAAGACGTGCGCGTGGCAGCAAGGCGATGCCTGTCTCAAGTTGTCCTCGCTCTCTCTCGTCTGTAGCCCTGCACCCGCCGCAAGGAGGTGAGGTGTGCTGACAAGAAAGCGAGCCGATGAATCCGAAGTCTGGCGATGCCCAGGCTTTCCTTCTTATTTTGGGTTTGGTTCCCTCCCTTGGCTTTTTGGGGAGGAGCGGAACGGTGGAAGCGCGGTGGAGAGGTGATGAGAAGGCGACGGCAAATAGGGGAGAGCCACAGAGCCAAGCCATGCAGGCAAGCAAAGGAGACACACGAGAAAAAAAACCGAGCGGGAAGCAGGCTTCAACCACATTGGATGCGACTGGCTGAGGTGAGATGCAGGGCGGGAAATGACGACAAGAAGCAAAGGTCAACAAAGTACCATATGATTGAGCCAAGCATGGCACCAGCTCCAGCACAAGCAGCACGTCGAACCAAGACACTGGGGCTCATGACAGCAACTGCAGCAATGAAGTGGAGGAGAATTGTGGCTGCGCCGTGGGAGTGGAAAGGGGGAACGGACGGGATGCGGTGGAGACGGTGTGACCTGGCTGGCGGAGACACTCCCAGTTCGATGTAGAAAACTACGTATCTTGGGCATTATGTCATCTTTTCTATTTCCTTTCACTTCGTGCTCGCAACACCGCAGATTGACGTCGCCCCGCTTACCTCAGCACGCAATCCAGATCTTATCTCTTTCCCAATCCACAGTTTCGCTTCTTGCGCCAGGTAGATTTACACAATGAAACCGTCGTGGAGATACAAGTGCCGCTCGCAATTTACAGCGTCCATACATCAATGTCTACGAATATTCAGGACCAAGTATCCATCCACGAGGCGGCGCACAATCGTGCTATGTACCGACCGGCAGGTGAGAAACAGAGACACAGAAAGAGAAGTGACAGCAGAACAACAATACTTACCTACTCCAAAAGTCCAAGACTCTCCAAGCAATAAGGGAGCGCAACGGACGAATCGACGAGGGCGGTGGCGTCTGTAACGGTCGGTAGCCCATCTCAGACAACCTGGAAATTCAGCCACTTAGCAGCGGCCTCTCTTGGCGGGAGCGGTGTTACACAGTTGTGGTGCTAAAACTTGGTCTTTTTTGTCCCCAACGGCTCTTCCGGGACAGCCACAATCGACGACGGCAGTCAGGGACTCAGGGACAGTGCGCCCTCCCTTTCGCGGCTTGCCCCAAGTGCCCAACTCCATGGAAAAGTCTCGAATTCTTGGTCAACATGTTGCTTGCTCCCTGTCCGCTGCCGTGCGTAAGGCAAGCGAGCGATGTAAGGTAGGAAAATAAAGCAATGCGCCAAGTAAAGGCCACCAGGGACGAGGGTTGTCTGTCACTCTGTCTGAGTCTTGACTCTAAC